GCAGCAGCAGCAGCAGCGACTGCAGCAGCAGCAGCAGCAGCGACTGCAGCAGCAGCACGTTTAAAAGGCTCTGGGCCTGTGAGTCTTTTGAAAGGAAACTTTGGTGGTTTGAAATTGAAAAGAACAAATGAAATAATTCGAAACAAACTCTAAACCCTAGCTAAACCCTAAACCCTTCGAGCAGCAGAACAAATTTGCCGAGGGTTTAGGGTTTAGGGTTTGGGTGCTGCTGTGCTACGTGCCGCGAGGGTTTGCTGTACCCCGACGCAGCGACAATGCGCTTGCAGCTGCTGCTGCTGCTGCTGCTGCTGCTGCTGCTGCTGCTGCTGTTGCTGCTGCTGCTGCTGCTGTTGCTATGGCCTCGCCCCGCCGATCCGCAGTTTTTGAGTTGGCATATAATTAATTTTAACCAATTAATTAATTATTAAATAATTATTAATAATTAATTAATTAATTAATTAATTAATTAATTAATTAATTATTAATAATAATTGATTAATAATTAATTAATTAACCCATTAGTAATTATATGCCTGGGTCTGCCTGTAGGCCTGGTACTGCTTGTAGGGCGTTTGCTGCTGCTGCTGCAGCAGCTGCTGCTGCTGGCTGCTGTCAATGAGGACTTCAGCTTCTGCTGCTGCTGCGTGGCAGCAAGACACAACAGCACCTACTGCAGCGCAGCAGACACAAGCAGCAGCAGAAAGGCACCAGCCGACGGCCTCAGCAGCAAGTATGAGGGGGCACTTGCGCGGGCGGCGCTGCTGCTGCTGCTGCTGCTGCAGCAGCAGCACCTGCTGCTGCTGCAGCTGGCTGCTGTAAGGGTCCCAGCCGTAGCCCCCCACCCCGTACACTGCAGCAGGAGGTGTTGAGAAGCTGTAGGGATAATTCTGCATTTTTTTGAGCTGTCTATACACCTCAAAAGCTGCCAATACACCTCAAAAGCTGCCGATACACCTCAATTAGCTGCCGATACACCTCAAAAGCTGCCGATACACCTCAATTAGCTGCCGATACACCTCAAAAGCTGCCGATACACCCCAATTAGCTGCCGATACACCCCAGATAGCTGCCGATACACCTGAGGAGCTGCCGATACACCTGAAGAGCTGCCGATACACCTCAAAGGGCTCCCAAGTAGCTGCCGATACACCCCAAATAGCTGCCGATACACCTCAGGAGCTGCGGATACACCTGAAGAGCTGCGGATACACCTGGAGAGCTGCCGATACACTTCAAATAGCTGCCGATACACTTCAAATAGCTGCCGATACACCTCAAATAGCTGCCGATACACCCCGGGAGGCCCTTAGGCGCTGCTGCTGCTGCAGCAAAAGCTGCTGAGCTGTCTGTACAGCTCAAGAAGCTGCAGATAGCCGGGGAGCTGCAGGTACACCAGAACGAGGTGGCTAGACACCCGACACTGGTTCGCAAAGAGCCCGCCGCAAATGGTCGGGCTGAGGGTTTAGGGTTTAGGGTTTAGGGTTTAGGGTTTAGGGTTTAGGCTGCGGGGCCAGCTGGAAACAGGGAAATAGCATCGACGGGAGCTGCGCGGCGCTTCGGGCGGGCAAAAGAGCGGCTGAAAAGGGGAAAAAAAGGAAAATTTGAATTAAATTTAATCAAATGGAATAAAAGAAGAAACAAAAAAAGAAAACGAACGCAAAGAAGCAAAAAGGAGAGCCCAGCGGCGCCCGCGGCTGACCGCTAGATGAAGCCGCCGCGAGTTTGAGCCGATGCCGCGGATTTGCGGAGATTTAAAGGCTCAAATGGATTTATTTTAATTGAAAAATCCATTTTTATTCTTTATTTCCCTTTTTATTTCCTTTTTCCCTTTTTTTCCAGCCAAAATCGCCGCGAAAACCCCCCAGCGCCACCGACGCCCCGAGCCGCGCAATCTGGGGTGTACGTACACCTGAACTGCTGCGCAGCGCCGCCAACGGCGAAATCAAAAATTATTAAAACTAAAAAAGAATAAATAAATTGAAACTGAAGAGGTTTTGGCTTTCTTAGACGGAAAGGGTTTAGGGTTTTGGCCGTTTTTAAGCTCCACGGTTTAGGGTTTAGCGTCTAGGGTTTAGGGTTTAGGGTTTAGGGTTTAGGGTTGTTAAGCCCTAGAGCAGCTTCGCCAGCAGAAGCCGTGGGGGCCCTCTAGTGTATTTGGCCAGGCGCTAGAAACTCGTTTTCCTTTTGCTTTCAAGGGTTTAGGGTTTAGGGTTTAGGGTTTCGCAAAGGTAAATAGGGTGTAGGGTTTAGGGTTTGGGGTTTAGGGTTTAGGGTTTAGGGTTTCCGCTCCAGTCGCTTCCCTCGAGGCCCCTTCTTCTCCCTGAGCTTATTTAATTTCTTTTTTTATTTTTTATTTACTTTAAATGGTTTTTAACAAACCCTCTAAACCCTAAACCCTCAAAACAGAAGCCACATGCAGCAAAACCCTCGGGGGGCCCCCAAGGGGCCCCCCGCAGCTTTCGCGCCTTTAAAGCACTTCCAGCCCAACCCTAAACCCTAAACCCTAAACCCTAGCAAACGGGATCGCTTGGGGGCTAGGGTTTAGGGTTTAGGGTTTAGGGCCTCCGCTGCCGCTTCAGCTGTGCTGCTGCGGATGCAGATGGCTCTATGGAAAGCACCACAGCAGCAGCAGCAGCAGCAGCTGCTGCTGCTGCTGCTGCTGCTGCTGCCGCTGCTGCTGCTGCTGCTGCCTCTTCGCACTGATGCCATGGTGAAGACGCATCAAACCCTAAACCCTCAACAGGCACCCAGGGCACCGCCGAGCCTCCCCAACGGAAACCCTTTTTTAGGGTTTAGGGTTTAGCGTTTAGGGTTTGGGGCTCAGCGTTCAGTTTGCTGTCTGCTCAGGGAGTTCTCCGCCCTTCTTACCAAGCAGGGACTTGGTTTCCTGGAACAGGTGCAAAACCCTAAACCCTAAACCCTAAACCCTAAATTGTGGTTTGATGGGCTGCTGGAGCTCCTCCTCGGGCTCCTTGGGCCGAAATCTTGGCTTCAGGTCCAATAATTTAGATGTTGAGTTGTGGGGACTAGGGCTGAGGGTTTAGGGTTTAGGGTTTAGGGTTTAGGGTTTAGGGTTTAGGGTTTGCGTTGCAGCTGCTGAGCTTCGCGCCGAGGTCGACTCGCTTTTGGAATCGGCAGAGACCTTTCCAGGCACAGTGAAGGCCATTGCTGTCCCGTAAACCCTAAACCCTAAATTAGGGTTTTCGTAGATCCCGAAGCCATACTGCAGTACACCCCAAACCCTGGGCCATCGCCCGGGCCCGTAAACCCTAAACCCTAATTCAGGGTTTTGTCTTCAAGCCTGGCCTGCAGTTTGTCTTGAAGTAGCAAACCCCAATTTGGTGTTTTAGGCTTAACCCTGAATTCGCGTGCAAAGATCGTCGCAAACCCTCTCATAGGGTTTAGGGTTTAGGGTTTAGGGTTTAGGGTTTAGGGTTTACGTGCAGGCACGCGGCTTTTGTCTATTCCGGGTCTACGGCGGCCGTGGGCTATAAACAAATGCAAGCTTTGCAGCGAAGAGTGTACGCCGAGGGTTTAGGGTTTAGGGTTTAGGGTTTAGGGTTTAGGGTTTAGGGTTTGGGGTAAGCACTCTCCCCTGAGTGCTGCGCAGTCTGCAGGGGCGCAGCACGCGTCTGGCTGCAGCTAGGGTTTAGGGTTTGGGGCTTAGGGTTTAGGGTTTAGGGTTTAGGGTTTAGGGTTTAGGGTTTAGGGTTTAGGGTTTGCAGGAAGCGCGTGCTGCTGCTGGCCCCGTGGCATCAAGAGGGTTTTGGGCTGCTGCTGCCTCCGGAGGAGTTTACAGCTTTTGGCACTCCCATAGGTTCAGTGCCTCTTGACGGCGAAGGCAAACCCTAAACCCTAAACCCTAAACCCTAATCCCTAAACCCTAAACTCTAAACCCTCGGTCCTGGGCGTCCAGCCACGGGCCGCAGCGCTAGGCCCAAACCCTAGCGACTCGACGCTGCGCCACAGCGCAGTGCCCTTCTGCAGGATTCAGAATTAGGGTTTACGGGCTAGGGTTTAGGGTTTAGGGTTTAGGGTTTAGGGTTTAGGGTTTAGGGTTTGCTGCAGTGCTTCGCGCGCTGCTCTCCACGGGCCTCTACGACACCGTTGCTGCAGCTGCAGAAAAAGACGAACATTCCATTGCTCTTCAAATTCCCTTTTTAAAGACAGTGCTGCCAGAGTGAGGGTTTAGGGTTTAGGGTTTAGGGTTTAGGGTTTAGGGTTTAGGGTTTAGGGTTTACGGTTCAGGGTGGGGGAAGTCTCTTGAGGCGCGCCATTCCTATTCATGTGCGCTTCTTAAAGACAATGCTACCTGAGCAGGGGTCCAGGGTTTAGGGTTTAGGGTTTAGGGTTTAGGGTTTAGGGTTTAGGGTTTGTGCTGCAGAGGGACTCTGTTGGTGCCTGTATATGTGGGAAGGCTGTTTAAAGAGGACTTGTCTATGTACGGTGAGTCGCAGCCCAAAACCCTAAACCCTAAACCCTAAACCCTAATGGTTTCTGTCGGTGCTTTACTTGACAGGCATTCTGAAATGGCAAATGCTGTGTAGCTAGCTTGCTAGCTAGCTAGCTAGCTAGCCACCTAGCTAGCTATCCAGCTAGCTAGTTAACTAGCCAGCTAGCTAGCCAGCTAGCTAGCCAGCTAGCTAGCCAGCTAGCTAGCCAGCCAGCTAGCTAGATAACTAGTTAGTTGGCTAGCCAGCTAGCTAGGGATTCGATTTCTCACAGATTTTTTGTGGGTAGTTTCGTTTACTTTGGTTTTAGGGTTTAGGGTTTAGGGTTTAGGGTTTAGGGTTTGCCGCCCGTTTGTGCTGCAGCGGAGACCCTGGTTCCCTTCTTTATGGACCCAGTAAGCGCAGTAGTTAGCTAGCTAGCTAGCTAACTGGCTAGCTAGCCAGCTAAGCGGCTAGCTAGTTAAATAGCTAGCTAGCTAAATCGATAGCTAGCTAAATAGCCGGCTAGCTATTTGACTAGCTGGCTATCTAGCTGAATAACTAGCTAGCTGCTAGCCAGCTGGCTGGCTAGCTAGCTAGCTAGCTAGCTGGCTAGCTAGCTAGCTGGCTAGCTAGCTAGTTGTTATGCCTACTATTTAGGTACAAGCAGGAGCTCCTCGTGGCTTGTGAGCTCGATAGCTGTCTGGCTTGCTAGCTAGCTAGCTAGCTAGCTGGCCTGCTGACCAAATAGCTAGCTAACAGGATAGCTAGCTAGCCAAATAGCTATCTAGCTAGCTAGCCAAGTAGCTAGCTAGCTAGCTCGCTGCTTAGAGCCGTGTCCGCTTATCAGCTGGCTAAGTGGCCGAACAGCAGCCAATGTGCTGGCTAGCTGCCCAATAGCTAGCTAGCTAGCTAGCTAGCTAAGTCAGCTAGCGACACAGCTAGCTAGGCAAATAGCTAGCTGGCTAGCTAGCCAGCTAGACCGTCAGGCAGAGAGACAACTGGTTAGATAACTGGCTAGCTAGCTAGCTAGCTAGCTAGCTAGCTAGAGAAGTAACTCGCTTGGTGGCGCCTAGCTAGCTAGATTGCTAGCTAGCTGGCTGGCTAGCTAGCTAAAGGAGTAGCTAGCTTAGCAGCAGCTAGCTAGCTAGATGGCTAGCTAGCTAGCTAGCTAGCTAGCTGTTGTTCTGTTCACTGTGGGCCTCAGGACACTGTGTTTGTAATATCGACGGATTGGTCTCATTGGGGCCCGAGGTAAGAAAAGCTGCAAACCCTAAACCCTAAACCCTAAACCCTAAACCCTAGCAAAGATCCCTCAGTGTGAATTTTGGCACGCTCGCCCTTGAGCTGCCATGCTCTCGGCCAAATTCGCAAACCCGAGGCTCTAGAGCTTAGTAGGGTTTAGGGTTTAGGGTTTAGGGTTTAGGGTTTAGGGTTTTTGTGCAGGAGCAATTACTCCTACCTGCCTGAAAACGTCGATAAGTCGTTGCCGCTCTACAAGAAAATACAAGTGCGTCTAAACCCTAAACCCTAAACCCTAAACCCTAATCCTCCAGGGCATTTTGCTGCACCTTTTCGAGCACTAGGCACTCACAGGCCAGGGTCTAGGGTTTAGGGTTTAGGGTTTATGGTTTTAAAGGGCTTAGGGTTTAGGGTTTAGGGTTTTAAAGTGCCTAGGGTTTAGGGTTTCGGGTTTGCTGCAGGCACTAGACCGCGAGGCAATTGACTGTGTCGTCAATCTCAACGGTTCCTGTGAGTCTTGGAACCTCAAACCCTAAACCCTAAACCCTAAACCCTAAACCCTTGTTCAGCACAGCTGCTAAACCCTAGAGTTTTTTCTTGCTGCACTTGAGGCAAGCCGCCGCAGGATGAGTTGATTGCAAACGCCTAGATTATCAATTAGGGTTTAGGATTTAAGGTTTAGGGTTTAGGGTTTAGGGTTTAGGGTTTGGGGTTTAGGGTGTCTGTACAGGCCTCGAGGAGCACGTTGCGAAGACCCACAACAGAATTTGCGGCTATGACGCGTTGCTTTTGTTTTTGCGGGTGGGCGAAACCCTAAACCCTAAACCCTAAACCCTAAACCCTAAGCTCCAAGTCTCAAACCCTAAACCCTAAACGCTCGTCTGTGGGTGCTTGCGCAGCTGCTAGAGAGAGTGGCAGAATCATCTGGTCAACGTGCTGAAGACTTATTTTCTGCTTCTCTTTTAGCCTATTCGCAAGTGAGCTCAAGGTCGAGGGTTTAGGGTTTAGGGTTTAGGGTTTAGGGTTTAGGGTTTGTAGCGGAGATGGAAGTTTAGCACTGCTTTGTTTTGCTCTCTTTGTTGCCTCTCTTTGACGGCTCTCCATTAAGCCCTTTAAACTCATTTATCTGTATCCACTATTCACTTTTTATATATTTATTATTTCATTTATTTATTTTTATTTATTTATTTATTTATTTATTTATTTATTTATTTATTTATTTGTTTATTTATTTCTTCAGTCATCGCCGATCCGCAGCGCATCTGAAAACGCCGTTGGCTACGCAGCGATTGGTTTTTACAGCGCGGAGGAAATGAACAAATGAAGAAAATGATGAATAAAAGAACAAATAAACAAACAAATAAATGAACAATGCATAATAAATGAATAATTATAAATATAAATGCAAAAATGAATGCAAATAAATGCAAATGAACCGGCCTTTGCCTTTTTTTGCGTCTGCTCGAGCGGAGCTGCCTATACACCCCAGTGCTGCGGGTGGCGGGGCTGTATTTATTGTGGCGGAAATGAATTAAATTTGTTGAATTTCTCTTTTATAAATTCAAATTAACATTTAGAATTGCTTTATATAATTAAATTCACATTTACAGTTCCTTTCTGAGCGGTTTCTTTCCCGGAGTTCCTTCGCAGACGCACGTCGGCTTCAGGTGTACGTACACCTCCGCACAACAACGCAGTGTCTTTGTTTCCCAGCGGCGAAAGCCGCCAAGTGGATGTCCAGTTCCTTCAAAAGAATAAACGAAAATAAAACAAATAAAGAACAATAAACAGAAAACAATAAATGGCGAGTGGTGAGTTGTAAATAAAGATGTAACTGAACGCAAGAAGCGCTGTCTATACACCCCAAATGTGAATGCTCCCATGCATGCATGGCTTTATGCACAACTAATTGATTTAATTTAATTCCAAAAGTTTGTTTCTTTTGAAAAGGGTTTTGTTTTAATTTCATCTATTTTTTCTTTTTAATTGACGCAAACGCGCTGCTTTCTGCGTTCCAGCCTTCTCCCAAACCCTAAACCCTAAACCCTAAACCCTAAACATGAAGTTGTCTATTCTTTAAAGTGTTTGTCGGCGGTAAAAGGCCAACAGCTTTTCTTGTTTGTTTCCTTCTATCTCTTCTTTTGGGGTTTCTTTGTTGCTTTCGTTTATATCTTTATTTTAATTAATTAATTGAATTAATTAAATCCATTAATTGTTGTAAAGTTGTTGTTGTTCATTTATTGTTGTTAATTTATTTGTTTATTGTTTGATGTGGATTTATTGTTATTCATTAGTTCACTTATTTGTGCCAGTGTGTCTGCGAGAGCTGGTCTTTTCACAGCCTGCCGCCAAACCCTAAACCCTAAACCCTAATTTTCAGTTTTACTAAACCCTCGCTCGCGGTTTAGGGTTTAGGGTTTAGGGTTTGGGGATTCTTCCTTTTTTAAACTCTTGTTAAACTCTTGTTCTTCCTTTTTCTTTTTGATAAGCGACCGGCAAGCAACACTGCTAGAGACTAGGGTTTAGGGTTTAGGGTTTAGGGTTTAGAGTTTAGGGTTTAGGGTTTGGAAAGGCACACAAACATATATAAATAAAGGTGTTAGGAGTTGGCGTTTGGGGGCTAGGGTTTAGGGTTTAGGGTTTGCAGAAACAAGAAAATAAATAATAAAAGTAATAACGCAAGAATAGAATAAAAAGGAAAAGTCGGAAGTTTCGGAAGAGTCTGCATGCGGCAGTTTGAGGTGTACAGACACCTGGGCTGTCTGCGGTGTACAGACACCTGGGCTGACTGGAATTTATTTTAATTTTTTTCGTTTTTTTTGTTTTTTTTGTTTTTTTTTTGTTTTTTTTGCAATTAATTGAAACTTAATGAAATAAAAGTCCATTTAGTTTCCAATTTTCCGCAATTTTCTTTTTTTTGCGCATTTTCGCCGACTTTTTGTCCTTTTCGCTCTTTTTCCTCTCGCGCTGCAGCTGCCACTCCGCAGCAAATCCGGACATTTTGCTGCTTCAAAAGCTGCCAATTTAATTCCATTTAAGTTCCAATTTAATTCCACTTAAATGCCCATCAAATGCCAACTAAACGCTGCTGCTGCTGCTGCTGCTGCTGCTGCTGACGAACTGCTGCTGCTGCTGCTAAAACTGCTGCTGCTGCTGCTAAAACTGCTGCTGCTGCTGCTGCTGCAGCAGCAGCAGCAGCAGCTGGAGCGGGTGCGTCCCGCGGAAACCCTAAACCCTCGTTCTAAACCCTAAACCCTCGTTCTAAACCCTCGTTTTGTTTATTTTCTTTTATAGTCGAGGGCTCTTTTTCTCAAGATTTCTTCGACAGATCCCAAAAGTCTTTTAAAGCTTTTTCTCTCCAAAGCCGCCACTTTGCAAAAACCATCGCTGACAACATTTGCTGCTCGCGCCTCTCCAGTCAGCAGCGCCAGCTCTCCGAAGTAGTCCCCGCTCTGCAAACCCAAACCCCAAACCCTAAACCCTAAACCCTAAACCCTAAACCCTAATTGCTAGACGCCAGGCCGTCCTGTGCAGCAGGGCGCTCGCGTTTAGAACTTGGCGTTGCAAACCCCAGTTTAGGGTTGGGCTTGCAAACCCCAGTTGAGGGTTTGGGGTTGCAAACCCTAGTTTAGGGTTTGGGGTTGCAAACCCTAGTTTAGGGTTTGGGACCTGGTAGCTGCCGATTTGGACGGGGGTGCCCCCGGCCTCGGGGGTTTGGAAGACTTTGGCTTTTCCGTCTTCGACTAAATAAAAAGTGTTTCCTTCTTCTCCTTGACGAACTATAAACTCTCCATCCGAATAAGTTTCTGTTCGCAGCGCGTCCGCCAGCTTCAGCCGGTCGTAAGTGCTCATCGACTGCAGCAGCGTCACCTGCAGCAGCAGCAGCAGCAGCAGCAGCAGGGAGTTGCGGAAAGCAGCAGCAGCAGCAGCAGCAGGGAGTTGCGGAAAGCAGCAGCAGCAGGAGGGAGTTGCGGAAGGAAGCAGAAGATAATTGCAGGCGGATTGGCTGGAGGAAGGCGGCGCTGGAGACTGCCGCTGGTCGCGAAACCCTAATTTAGGGTTTAGGGTTTAGGGTTTGCTCGCCTTGGAGAGAAAGCTGGCGTACATCTCGCGTTTGCGAGTGGCCGCTCCCTTGACAATACTATTAAAAGAGTCTCTGTCTAATCTCCACAATTTGCAAACTTCTTTGCTGACAACTGTGGCCGCTCTCGGGGAGTTATAAAGCAAAGCCAACTCCCCTATGACGTCTCCAGGCCCCACAACCTTCCCCAGCTGCCCCCGACTCGATCCCACCGATCCCGATCCCGTCGATCCCACCGCTCCCTCTG